ACAAACCTCTGGTCTCTGTGGAGCCCTGACAAAGGAGGAGTCTAATGGGGTTCCACACACGTCCTCACAGAAATGGAGCCGCGCATCTCTCCACACTAAATTTCACTGTGAAGAAGACCACATTTACTGCAATATACATGTGCTAATCCAGGGACAGCACATTCACTTTCTGTCTTACAAATTACAGAATTCGGCAAAGTTTCTCCATGTCTCAAGGCATTTGTCTCAAATTATTTTCAAGCTTAATACTTGTCTGCAGCTTAGAATAAGAATTCTTACTTATGGAAACAAAATCCTTTATTAACCACACCTACACAAATCCCCCAAACCTTGAAATGGAAGCCTTTGAAAGCTGGTACAAGGTAAGGATGCAAGGCACAATCGTAACATGTAAATGTGTGAAAATCAAGAATTCTGTTCATTTTAGCACTTCACAGGACCCTCAATGAGAACATCTATAGCAGAAGGCATCAGGAAAGGTTCTCACCTAAGGAACTGGTTATGCTTTTGATCTACTGATAGGGCGGTGCATAACTTCTTTCCCTTCTCTTAGCCTTAATTTCCAGAGTCAAATTTTACATACAATAATGTATGTTAAGCCTCCTTTTTCTTCCCTTTCTGTTCATATGTTATTAACATTGTTGTGTATATCTTTTCTTGGTATGCTGCTTCAAGGGCTTTTGGGAAAGAGGCCAGGTATTAAGAAGAGCTAACTATTCTAAGTCCATATGCACCCAGTACAGGTGCACCCAGATTCATAAGCAAGTTCTTACAGACCTACAAAGAGACTTAGACTCCCACACAGTAATAGTGGGAGACTTTAACACTCCTCTGTCAACATTAGACAGATCAATGAGACAGAAAAGAAACAAAGATATCCAGGGCTTGAACTCAGATCTGGACCAAGTGGACCTAATAGACATCTACAGAACTCTCCACTCCAAATCCAAAGAATATACATTCTTCTCAGCACCACATCACACTTACTCTAAAATTATCACATAATTGAAGTAAAACACTCCTCAGCAAATGAAAAAGAATGGAAATATAATAAACAGTATCTGAGACCACAGTGCAATCAAATTAGAACTCAGGATTAAGAAACTCACTCAAAACTGCACAACTACATGGAAACTGAACAACCTGCTCCTGAATGACTACTGGGTAAATAACAAAATTAAGGCAAAGATAAAGATGTTCTTTGAAACCAATGAAAATGAAGACAAAACGTACCAGAATCTCTGGGACACATTTAAAGCAGTTTGTGTAGGGAAATTTATAGCACTAGATGCCCACAAGAGAAACAGGAAAGAACTAAAATCAACACCCTAACATCACAAAAGAACTAGAGAAGCAAGAGCAAATTCAAGAGCTAGCAGAAGATAAGAAATAACTAAGATCAGAGCAGAACTAAAGGAGATGGAGACATGAAAAACCCTTCAAAAAAATCAATGTATCCAGGAGCTAGTTTATTGAAAAGATCAACAAAATAGACTGCTAGCCAGACTAATAAAGAAGAGAGAGAAGAAATAGATGCAATAAAAAATGATAAAGGGGATATCACCACCAATCCTACAGAAATACAAACTATATCAGAAAGTACTCTAAACACCTCTATGCAAATAAACTAGAAAACCTAAAAGAAATGGATAGATTCCTGGACAGATACACCCTCCCAAGACTGAACCAGGAAGTAGTCGAATCCCTGAATAGACCAATAACAAATTCTGAAATTGGAGCAACAATTAACAGCCTACCAACCAAAAAAGTCCAGGACCAGACGGATTCACAGCTGAATTCTACAAGAGTTACAGGGAGGAGCTGGTACCATTCCTTCTGAAACTATTCCAAACAGAAAAAGAGGGAATCCTTCCTAACTCATTATATGAGGCCAGCATCATCCTGATATCAAAACCTGGCACACACACATCAAAAAAAGAAAATTTCAGGCCAATATCCCTGATGAACATTGATGTGAAAATCATCAATAAAATGCTAGCAAACCAAATCCAGCAGTACATCAAAAAGCTTATCCACCACGATCAAGTTGGCTTCATCCCTGAGATTCAAGGCTGGTTCAACACATGCAAATCAATAAACATAATCTATCACATAAACAGAACCAATGATAAAAACCATAATTATCTCAATAGATGCAGAAAAGGCCTTCGACAAGATTCAACAGCCATTCATGCTAAAACCTCTAAATAAACCAGGTATGGATGGAACGTATCTCAATAAAAAGCTACTTATGACAAACCCACAGCTCATATCATACTGGACATTCCCTTCCCTTTGAAAACCAGCACAAGACAAGGAAGCCCTCTCTCACCACTCCTATTCAACATAGTATTGGAAGCTCTGGCCAGGGCAGTCATGCAAAACAAAGAAATAAAGGGCATTCGATTAGGAAAAGAGGAAGTCAAATTGTCTCTAGTCACAGATTACATGACTGTATATTTGGAAAACCCCACATCTCAGCCCAAAATCTCTTTAAGCTGATAAGCAACTTCAGCAAAGTCTCAGGATACAAAATCAATGTGCAAAAAACCACAAGCATTCCTATATACCAATAACAGACAAAGAGCCAAATCATGAGTGAACTCCCATTTACAGTTGCTACAAAGAGACTAAAATACCTAGGAATATGACTTACAAGGGAAGTGAAGGATCTCTTCAAGGAGAACTACAAACCACGCTCAAGGAAATAGAGAGGACACAAACAAATGGGAAAACATTCCATGCTCATGGATAGGAAGAATCAATATCATGAAAATGGCCATACTGCTCAAAGTAATTTATAGATTCAATGCTATCCCCATCAAGCTACCATTGACTTTCTTCACAGAATTAGAAAAAACTACTTTAAATTTCATATGGAACCAAAAGAGAGCCCCATAGTCAAGACAATCCTAAGGAAAAAAAAAAGCTAGAGGCATCATGCTGTCATGCTACCTGACTTCAAACTATACAAGGCTACTGTAATAAAGTGTGGTACTCATACCAAAACAGATATATAGTATAGACCAATGGAACAGAACAGAGACCTCAGAAATAACACCACACATCTACCATCATCTGATCTTTGACAACCCTGACAAAAACAAGCAATGAGGAAAGGATTCCCTATTCAATAAATAGTGTTGGGAAAACTGGCTAGCCATATGCAGAAAGCTGAAACTGGCTCTCTTCCTTACACCTTACACAAAAATTAACTCAAGATGAATTAAGGACTTAAATGTAAGACCTAAAACCGTTAAAACCCTAAAAGAAATCCTGGGCAATACCATTTAGGACATAGGAATGGACAAAGACTTCATGACTGAAACACCAAAAGCAATGGCAACACAAGCCAAGAAAGACAAATGGGATCTAATTAAAGAGCTTCTGTACAGCGAAACAAACTATCATCAGAGTGAACAGGCAACCTATAGAATAGGAGAAAATCTTTGCAATCTATTCATCTGACAAAGAGCTAATATCCAGAATCTACAAAGAACTTAAATTTTCAGGAAAGAAACCTACAACCCCACCAAAAAGTGGGCAAAGGATATGAACAGACACTTCTCAAAAGAAGACATTTATGCAGCCAAGAAACATATGAGAGAAAGCTCATCACTGGTCATTAGAAAAATGCAAATCAAAACCGCATTGCGATACCATCTCATGCCAGTTAGAATGGTAATTATTAAAAAGTTAGGAGACAACAGATGCTGGAGAAGATGTGGAGAAATCAGAATGCTTTTACACTGTTGGTGAGAGTGTAAATTAGTTCAACCCTTATGGAAGACAGTGTGGCGATTCCTCAAGGATCTGGAACTAGAAATACCATTTGACCCAGCAATCCCATTACTGGGTATATACCCAAAGGATTATAAATCATTCTACTATAAAGATACATGCACATATATGTTTATTGTGGCACTGTTCACAATAAGAAAGACTTGAAACCAACCCAAATACCGATCAGTGTTAGAGTGGATAAAGAAAATGTGGCACATATACACCATGGAATACTATGCAGCCATAAAAAAGGATAAGTTCATGTCCTTTGCAGGAACATGGATGAAGCTGGAAACCATCATTATCAGCAAACTGACACAAGAACAGAAAACCAAACACCATATGTTCTCACTCATAAGTGGGAGTTTAACAATGAACGCATGGACACAGGGAGGGGAACATTGCACACTGGGGCCTGTTGGTAGGTGGGGAGCTAGGGGAGGGATAAAAGGAGGAATACCTAATGTAGATGATGGGTTGATGGGTGCAGTATATCACCATGACACGTGTATACCTATGTAACACATCTGCATGTTCTGTACATGTACCCTAGAACTTAAAGTGTAATAAAAAAAATACATTTCAAATACAGACCGAAAAAAGCAAGCAAGCAAATGTTGCAATTACTTTGAGTATATAAAAGAAGGTATCTTTGCTCTCCTGGTATACCTCAATCAAAAAGCAGTATTTAGGAATTATCTAAATTAAAATAAAATATACCTATTAGGATAAAATACCCCAGCAGCAGGCCTGGACTCACCAATTTCCGAAGACCTCAATTCCTTGGCTTTACCGAGAACAGTATATTCCCTGAATCTGACACTGGTCACCTTCATTAGTTCCATGCTAGTGCAAAGAACCCTGTACTAGGAGATTAGGGTTGTGTGTGCTCAGCTATGTGAGCTGGGCAAGTTATTACCATCTGATCACTTCTGTGTCCTCCCTCAGCATGAGGGCAGCTACTACTGCTCCTATGCTACAAAACTCACTATAAGGAGATAAATTCAGACTTGTTCTTAGAAGTAAAAGTGCAATATAAACAGAAGATCATACACCTTGGAGGCCTAAAGTGATTCTTTCTAAAGAGCCTAAGGACTTCTTTACACCAGTTTCTCTCCAAATTCAGTATGGTTTTTTTGGGGGGAGAGGGGCAACATGATACAGGTGGGGAAATGATAATGCTCAGAGATACAGGCACCAAATAATGAAAGAAAACATTTCTATACATAAAACGTTTATACATGTTTTCATTTTTTTTACATTAAAATGTAAACATTCTCTTATCCAAAATAGCCAGTGAAAAAATAAAAACAAAAAACAAAGTAAGCCTTTAAAAATAACTGGCGAGGAGTTTTCAAGTGTTCTTGCTGATTGTATCTGAATACCAAACATTATAACTCATCAATTCAATGACAAGGAGGTAGCTCCTGAACCAAACGGGTACACGCTGTACCAATACAGAGCAAAATCTCAATTAACCAGGATGCTCCAACTTTCCAGTTGACTATTTAAAAAAAAAACAACCTGTTTTATCCATTAGTTCAGAAAACATTTCTAATATATATATATTAGAATTAAAGACTTAAATGCATTAAGTCTTCCACCTCCCAGGTTCAAACAGTTCTCGTGCCTGAGCCTCTTGAGTAGCTGGGAGTAAAGGCACATGCCACCATGTCCAGCTAATGTTTGTATTTTTAGTAGAGATGATGTTTTACCATGTTGGCTAGGCTGGTTCTCAAACTCCTGATCCCAAAGAGCTGGGATTACAGGTGTGAGCCACCGTGCCTGGCCTGAAAAACTTTCTAAATGGAACCACTTTGCTTTCCAGGCTACAAAATGCCCAACACAATTCAATGGTGTTTTGATGATTTAGGATCTTGTGATGCCTTGGGGTATCTCTCAGAATATGCATAATTTCAGAGTAGGCTTGTTAGAGCAGAAAACTGGAGCAAACTAGTGTTTCTAGTTTTACATGAATTCCTGATATCATAAGCTTATTGTCTTCCTTTTACCTCATTCTTCTAAAAGGAGAGTGCCCACCAACGTTCTAGTTAAGCAGGATTTTATAGTTCTAGACAGATCCGCAAATACTGGTTCACGCAAACAACACAGTTCACTGACTTTATCGTCTGGACTATTTCTTCTACTTAATAAATGAGCCCAGTAACAACAATTACAATGTAATGGGGTCTACTGTTTTTCTGTATGACATCAAATTTCAGTATCCTATGAATTCCTTGTTTGAAATATTTTAAACAAAGGAAAATCATTCTTGAAGATGGCTTCTAAAACCATGAGAGTCAAAGATTTTGCTAATGGAATCAAACTGTGCTTCCTATATTATTAATTCACAACTGCTTAAACAATCTTTAAAACATTATCAAAAAGCAAGTAAGTTCTCTCAGATACTAGGGGGTTAATTCCTCAAAGCCATAAAATAATGAGTTGCTAGGAAAGCTACCTTCTGATTCTTAGTACAGTCAAGTATTTCCATAGTGCAGGACCCATACCACTGGTGGCACACAAGATGTCTTTAAGTAGTACACAACATAAAATAATGCTGAATCACAGTGAGAATGTCATTCCCTTTACAGTTTCCTTTTATTCTCTGATTATTCCAGAGACAGCACCTCTCGACGGTGCTGGTAACATCCTCACTGCCACAAAGAGCGAGCCTCAGATTCAGAGCGTTTCTAGGCATTAGTTTCTAGCTAGAACTGAACAACATTTTCTGTGTTCATCTTATTTATTTTGTGGTTACCTTTTATTTATGGCAAATTGATACTTGTTTTCAACTTGGAGGATTCATTTTTTAAAAAACTTTAAAATTTAAAAGATAAATATTAAGAAAATAGTAATACAAGTAGTACTTAAGAAACTGAAGTTTGGGAAACAATGGCTATAGTCTGAATCATATTTTTGAGACGTAATTTCAAAAGAAACAACAAATGTGGATTAAAAAGGAAACATACATTACTGTATTTTCAATACCTGTGATGTTCCAGAGATGAGCTCATCACAGCCTTCTTTTGTATCAGGTGATTTCCAGAGTTAAGATTCAAGCAAAGATATAAAAGTAAAAAGCAATTTCACACTATCTTGGACTTTATAAACTCTTAGTACTATAAATGTGCAAATAATCTGATATTTATCACAGTCATTTATTTAAAACAAACTTTCCAATTTCTGCAGCTTTTTATTTGGTCTATACTAATGCCTCGCAAAGGCAAACGCAGGTTGTAGAGTTCCTCCTGCCTGGTCCTCAGAGCAAGTACAACATCTATTTTTTGAACTCTTCAGGAAGGATTCAGAACTGCTGGCCAAGTCTTCAATGGCATATGACTGTTCTTGCACTGTTACGGCCTTGAAGAGAGAAATCTCCCCCTTCTCTGAATGATAATCTCATGGCCAACATTCTTCTGACAGGACTTTTCCTAGCAGGTCTTCCATGCTCACAGGCATGCCATGCTGATTTTAAAAAAGGAAAGTTGGAGAGAAAGAAAGCAGAGCTTCTCCTCTGTGGGGAAGAGCTTCTTTATCACAGTGGCAGTTATGGTATGTTTCCTCCTTTTCTCCCTGAAGCCAACGCAATAGATCTGAAGGATGGTGTCAGACATCATAGTCGGGAGCCTTGCCCTGGGCTTGCCTTAGCCAGATCTGTAGTGTAACAAATGCTCCCACAGTCACATGAAAGAAAAGCTGCCAGAGGTTGCGCAGTTCATAGAGATACATGTTGCATAGACAGATTAAGCCAAAAGTCAAAAAAGATTTGACATTTCGCCAGCCGGTGTAGTAGACAAGCAAATAACACTGTTCAAAATATAAAAATGAAAGATGATTAAGGGTACAGGAAAAGAAACAGATATTTCTAATATAAAATTGTAACAGGCCAGAGAGTAAACTATAAAAATGGATAAGGGTATTTTTTATCTAGGGATAAGATAATGTAGCATATATCTAAAGACATATATTCAGCTATGAAAGTTCCACAGTTTGAAAGGGAAAGACTTTTCCTCTTATGTTTTTCATTTTTCAAAAGAAAAGCATTTGTATCATATTTTAAATGGAAGTACAATGAAATGACTCCCTTGCAAACAGGCTGGGGAAATTCCTCATGGTGGCAGGCAACTAAGAAGCATTCCCAGGGTCTGCAGGGGTTCCATTCTCACCCAGAAAAGTACAAAAAGCACATACAAGCTATTCTACAAAATGGGCTCTTATAGAACCTGAATCTGAGTATTAATGAAATCCACCAAATTTTACTAGTCCCCCATTGAGTGAGTACAAGGAACTATGCTAGGTACAGCAACTGACTGAACATTTGAGGAAGAATTCATTCAACAAATATTTATTGAGGGCCTGCTATAAATCAGGCATTGTTCTTCGGTTGTGGGTAAAACAAAGCCCTTGTTCACACAGATACTAAATTTTAATGGGGAAGAATTATAAATGTATTTTAAATATATAATATCAAATAGTTATATCTTGAATGAGAGAAAGCAGGAAAAGGGATAGAGAATGATAGTGGGTGCTATTTTAGATAAAATAGTAAAGAAAGTGCTCTCCCGCACCACCCCTGCCCATCCTGGCATTCACCCTCTACTGCTTTATTTTCCTCCATAACATACTATAAACATACTTGAGAAATGTATTTATTTTGTCATTAATAGGCTTTCAATAGAATCTAAGATTCATTAGGCATGAGATTTTTTTTTTTACTGTTATTTACTCATTTATCTCTAGTGCCCAGAGCAATGCCTGGGACATAGTAAGTGCTCAATGTGTTGAGTGAACTGTGATGTCTAAAATTCATAATCTGGTAAATATAGGTATCACAAAGTCTAAAGAGAAAAGCCCAGGTCTCTCTGTGAACTGTATCTATGCTTCAGAATGGGAAGGACATTCCAGTGTCTGTTATAATACAGAAAGAATGTGACAATGTTTTGTTAAACATGTTTAGTTCTTATACAAATTTGGACTTTGTTTACTTAAAAAGAAGGCTGCTATCCAAGCAAAATGAATTGGAAGTATTTCTTTTATCAGTAATTTTCACCATAAAAGATTGAAAAAATATAGCTTTTTCTTTTGGAATAATTTTAGATTTAAAGATGCTAAAATAGTTCCTATATACTCTTCACCCTGTTCCCTCATTATCCTCTTATGTAATCATACTATAATCATCAAACCAAGAAATTAACATTGATTCAATACTCTTAGCTAATCTACAGACTTTATTCAGATTTTGCCAACTGTCCCACTCGGGTCCTTTTTCTGGCCCAGAATCTAATCTGGGATTCTGTATTGCATTAGTTGTCATGCCTATTCCAATCTGTAACAGCTCTTCCTTTTTTTAAAAAAAAAATTTTCATGCCCTTGACAGTCTTGAAGAGTATTAATCCATTATGTTGTAGGAATGTTCCTCAACTTGGAACATTTTAATGTCATTTTATATATGTCTGATGTTTTGTCAACTTTGAAATGAGGTTATGCAATTTTGGCAAAAATACCACAGAGGTGATACGCAATACGGGTTATTACTGATGATGCTAAATTAGATCATTTAATAAGGTGGTATCTATTCCCTTTACAATTATTAAGTGTTTTGGGGACAGGGAATTGAGATTATGTGAATATCTTATCTCATCATACTTCTGCCCACTAATTTTAGTATCCATTAATAATTCTTGCCTGCAATAATGATTACTGTGGTGTTTGCTTAACGGTGATTTTGTATTTCCATTTTTCTAACTGTATTTATTGCTTGGAATCCTACTGTCAAAATAAGCTAGCTCTTCTGGTAATTAAAAAATACATATATTTGATTCATGGTTTTCTGGGGCTTTTAAAATAATGGTCTCTACCCCACATATTACTTATTAATTACAAAGAAGAAAAAGATATCTTTGCAATGGAGATCTGGTAGACACCATCTTAACCAAATGATCAAACTTATGACTGATGCAATGACAGATAGTCAGCATATTATACTATATAGTACTGTTGCCAGAATATTTAACCTCAATCCTTTTAAATTAGAATATTTAACCATAACCTGACATGGTATGCATGTCAGGAGTTAACAGACTAATCTAGATTGTGGGTCATTTTATATGGTACTTGCCTAAACTCTTAAAAAAGTCAATGTTATGAAAGACAAACCCAATATAAAATAGAACAACAATAAAAGGCTGGGAGACTGTATCATAGCTCAAAAGATAGAGGACAACCAAATGAAATGCATAATCCTGGATCAGGGGAAATATAGCCACAAAAAACATTTTGGATACAACTGAAATAATCTGAATAGCTATCCTATATTAGATAATATTGTATCAATGTTATAGTCTTAGATATGATATGAAGTCCTAGCTATGTAGAAAGAAGTCTGTGTTCTTTTTGTTTTTGTTTTTTTTTTTTGAGACAGAGTTTTGCTCTTGTCCAGGCTGGAGTACAATGATGTGATCTTGACTCGCTGCAACCTCTGCCTCCTGGGTTACAGCAATTCTCATGCCTCAGCCTCCCGAGTAGCTAAGACTATAGGCACCTGCCACCACCCCCAGCTAATTTTCGTATTTTTGGTAGAGATGGGGTTTTACCATGTTGGCCAAGCTGGTCTTGAACTTCTGACCTCAGGTGACCCGCCCGCCTATTCCTCCCAAAGTGCTGGGATTATAGGCGTGAGCCACCGTGCCTGGCCCAATGTCTGTGTTTGTAGAAGATACATCATGAAGTATTTTAAGGTGAAATATCGTGATGCCTGTAACTTACTTTAAAAACAACTGCTCAGGGACTTCTGTCTCTGGGAAGATGGAGTAGACACACTTTTCCCTATTTCTTCCACTAAGTACAACTATAAACACTGGACAGTATATGTAAAATAAGCATAAGAAGACTCTGAACTGTGGAGAAAAAGCAAGACAAATAGAGGATCTTGAGATCCAAGGAATGACACAGTGGTAGGTTCTCTGAGTTTTCTTTTTTGCTTCATATATGCCTGACTCGGAGCTGGAGAAGCTGGCAACTAGAAATGCCAATGCATGCATATCAAAACAAACAACAACAATAACAAAACCCTCAATAAGATCTTGCTGTCCCTCTAGTAAAAGACCAGGAAAGAGCACCTTAGCAAGACAGAAAACTTTTCAACAGTAACTATTATACTCTAGCCAAATATCTCACACACACACACACACACACACACACACACACACACACACAGCCTGTGACCCACCCATACCCATACCATCAAATGTTGAGTAGAGAGCCAAGAACATTGTAAGCAGATGTTCTAACCCTTCAGCATGGTTTCAGAAAAGACAGGTAGAAGCCAGGACTTTCATTCCCACTAGATGGCAATGAGCCCCTCCTCTACCCTCTTACTGTGATGTCGGTGGAGAACCCTTGGGACTTTGGGCATCCACCTTCACTTGAGAGTAACAAGACAATTCATTTTTCATCAGTAACAAGACAGTGGGATTCTCATCAGAAATCACAGAGGCCAGAAAAAAAGAATATTTCTCAAGTGCTGAAAGAAAAAAAATGCTGCCAAATCCAGAATTCTGTATTGAACAAAAATATCCTTTAGGAATAAAAGGAAAATAAAAACATTTCTCAGTTGCAAGATTAAGAGAATTTGTTGCTAGCCAATATCCCATAAAAGAATTGTTAGAGGAAGTTCTCTAAATAGAAAACAATAAAAAGAAGAAATCCCGAAACATTGGGAAAGAAAAAAAAGGACACGGTATGCAAAAATATAGGTAAATACAATAGGCTTTCTTTTTCCTCTTGAGTTTTCTTAATTATGTTTAATAGTTAAAACAAAAATCATTAAAACACTGTGTAATGTGGTTCTAAATATATGTAGAGGCAATAGCTGAGCCAATTATCAATGGGGGAGGGCAAAAACAAACACATCTAGGGAGGTGTCTTGAATTACTAAAATGTTGACACCTAAAAAGCTATACAAAGAGATACACTCAAAAATACTACAGATAAACTGAAATGGAATTCTTTTAAAATGTTAAAGTAACCCACAGGAAGATAAAGAAAAAAAAACCAGAAAAATGAAAAACAAAACTAAAAATAAGCTCTAACACATCCATACTGTGTTAACTATATATGACTTAAATACAGCAATGAAAAGACAGAGATTGGCAGGGTGGATTAAAAAACATGAATCAACTTTACACTGTCAGAAACTCACTTCATATCATATAGGAAAGTTAAAAGTAAAGGATGGAAGAGGATATATCATATAAACAGTAATCAAAAGAAAGCAAAAGTGGCTACATTGATATCAGATAAATACCAAAATATTTCAAAGCAAAGAAAATAACCAGGGACAGAGGAAAACATTATATAATGATAAATGGGCCCACCCACCCAGAAGATACACAGCAATCCTAAATCTGTATGAGCCAAACAACATAGCTACAAAACATATGAGGCAAAATAGAACTGAAGTACAAAATGGAAAAATCTATAATCCAGTACTCTTCTCTAGCCAACTAGCATAACACTAGACAGAAAATCAGCAAGAATATAGAACTTGACAATACCAAGCAACATGATCTAAACATTTATAGAACACACTCACTCAATAATAGCAGAATGTACATTCTGTTCAAGTGACTATGAAACATATGATAAGACAGACCATATTTTGGAGCCATAAAAGAAACCTCAACAAATTTAAAAGAAATGAAATCATACAATGCGTGTTCTCTGATCACAATGGAATCAAACTAGAAATCAACAATGGAAAGATAAGAAAATCTTTAAACATTTAGAAGCGAAACAGTGTGATTCTA